AGGGTTTACGTCGTGTCACACTTGACACGACAATCTCGGAACCTAAGGAGGGTTAATACTTACGTTGCACAACATGGTTGTACAGGATCCTAAAAAAGGAGTGTGAGGATTTACGTCGTGCTGGACAAACTACCTCGAAGTCCTATGGGTTGTTATTATGCTAGGAAGAGATAATGCTGAAGAAGATCCTCTTTTTGCCCGCTTCAAGCCCCTCGTCGTGTTGCCCACAAAGTTGGCTCCAAGCTCCTGTTGTAGCGATGACTCTAGGGTTTAAGTGCTTGAGATTAGTAGTTTATGCTTCACAGTTTTTGTGTCAATGTTTGGTTTTGTTTTGTTTCGGTTTTGGTTTCAGTTCTGGTTTTACATACAGAGTAATCAAATTGCAGGTAAATAAAATATACTTTGAAAAATAAAATTTAGAAAAGTAAAATGCTATGAATATTGTAAAAGTGTACCTGAGCATCTGCTACTGTTGCGTGATTAATATTGCAAGCGTAGTATGACTAGTATGACTTACAACAGACTTACAACAGATTTAAATAAACTCGCAAGAAAAGTAAACAAGGCGAGAAAACCTAGCGCGAAAGTCAGAAACATGAGTTGTAAAAAAAATACGAGCAAAAGAAACCCTTAGCCACATATGAAAAATTAGAACTGGGTTAGGACTGGGTGTGAGACATTGGTAAAAGTGGGGCTCAGAGCTGGACTGCGTGCTTCCCGATCCTGAACAAGAGTTACCAGCCCGACAATCTACAGTAGACAGTCCTTAACCTCAATCCAAGTGACTAGTCGTTGACCTTTATAAATTTTCATAGAAAAATTCTTTGATTTTTCATGCAAAAGTTATTGTTTAAGTTTTTTTTATGCAGAGTTCTTTTAATCATGCAAAAGAAATTTTTATTTTATTTTTGTAAATATTTTGTAAAGTCGTATAGTCCACAGGCTAGTCACTCTAATCGTGCTAAAACTACTGACAACCTAAGAGTGTCTGGGGCAACGATCCTACTAGCATCATGAATCTTTTCCTCTCCCTTATTGAAGATCCTTGAGGTAGGAGATATTATTCTAATAATCTTACTTCGTATCCCTCGTTTAAGCACACATAAGCAATGTCGTCATTGCCCTCGCCACCTAGACCCTAGACTCATCCTAGTTCGATGATCCATATGTGGCGTTAACAAATTTCTTCAATTACCAGGAGGATTTGAGTGTAATATCCAAGCTCAAATTCCGATGCATTGGATTTTATTGTAGCTAGGTTTTACTGTAGGCTAAGTCATTACGGGAATTTCACTGTTGATTTAATTAAGGAAGCATGAACTACGCCTCAGTGCATATTTATGTCAAGTGTCAAGTTTCATTATTTATTTGAAAATTAGGTGGATGGATTCTCACCTAGGGTATGCTTCTAAAATTTAGGAAGACTATGCTGAGAATTACGTGGATGGACTCTCACGTAGGGTATGCTCCTAAAATCTAAAAGCCTATGCTCAGAATTAGGTGGATGGACTCTCACCTAGGGTGTCCTCCTAAAATCTAGGAAGTCTACACTTTATCTTGTGCTTAAAGTGATTCAAGGTATTTTACTCTCAATTAAGTATTTTCTAACTAATTTTAACTTATTTAAAATCTTTCAACAAATGTAATTAAAGTGACTCTCTAGAAGAGTGTTCAAATTTGTCCCAAGACAATGTTTTGATCGGCCCATATATGAACTCCTATTATAGGAGAAAAGGGAAGAAAACTCCCACAAAAAGGGTGAGAATACTCCAGAAAATAGCCATTGAAGGCTTTCCATAAAGGGAAGATTGCATAAGGAGGGGTGGCAGTCCCACCCCCTATATAGATCTTGTGAAGCCTCTGCAATCCTTTCACCTAGTCCGGTTTACGGTGTTGTGATAGTTTCTGCCAGCTGGTTTAGCGAACTTCCGCTTTAGTGCCCCGTGTCAGGTAGTATGTTAGATCTAAATGTGTAGGGTGTGCTCCTAAAATCTAAAAGCCTATGCTCAGAATTAGGTGGATGGACTCTCACCTAGGGTGTCCTCCTAAAATCTAGGAAGTCTACACTTTATCTTGTGCTTAAAGTGATTCAAGGTATTTTACTCTCAATTAAGTATTTTCTAACTAATTTTAACTTATTTAAAATCTTTCAACAAATGTAATTAAAGTGACTCTCTAGAAGAGTGTTCAAATTTGTCCCAAGACAATGTTTTGATCGGCCCATATATGAACTCCTATTATAGGAGAAAAGGGAAGAAAACTCCCACAAAAAGGGTGAGAATACTCCAGAAAATAGCCATTGAAGGCTTTCCATAAAGGGAAGATTGCATAAGGAGGGGTGGCAGTCCCACCCCCTATATAGATCTTGTGAAGCCTCTGCAATCCTTTCACCTAGTCCGGTTTACGGTGTTGTGATAGTTTCTGCCAGCTGGTTTAGCGAACTTCCGCTTTAGTGCCCCGTGTCAGGTAGTATGTTAGATCTAAATGTTTTTATTTATTTTTTCTTCTCCCGCTTCTAAATCGTAATCACACTGACCCTGCTATTCCTGCATCGAGATCTCCTTTGCACCACCTTCCCAACTTGGACTCCAGAAATCTTGCATTATTTTTTTCTTTCTTCCTCCCGTTCGTTGATGCCTTTCTACTGACAATTCTGCTCTATTTAAGAGGATCCCAATGATCTAACTTCACAACTCCCCCTTGCAGCTCTCCTTCTGTAGTTTTTGTTCCCTCTCCCTTATCCTGCTGTCGAAACCCTCACCAATGTCCTTTCCTCCTCCCTCCACGATTTCCCCCTAAAGCATCACCTTAATAATTGAACCCTTGCGATACAGTAGCGACTGAAGCTAGCTGGGAGGCAACGTTGGGAAGGCTTGCCCCTCCCCCTTAATAATTGAACCCTTAATAGTTAGTACGAAAACCTTCAAACCTCCCATCTTTCTCCGTCCACTTCGCTTCTATTAGAAACTATTGAGGAACGTAAGGCTCCCCCCTCCCCCGCCCACATTCCTTCTCTTTTATTGTATATATTTATTTATTATAAAAATATATGAATAGAGGTTTATTACTTAATATAATTAGTTCCTTAGTTCAAAGTACTAAATTAATATAGATTTATTAATTTTATTTAAAATCATATTTTTCAGGTGGATAATAAATCTCATATGATAAAATAAAATAACTAAAAGTAATAATAATAATGTACCAATTACATTATTCCTAAGCAAATAAGTAATTAATTATAATACATTTAATTTCGTAATTGCTAAATTTTGGGGATTCTGGTTTGTGTAGGACCTATTAATCACGTCGGGTGAACTTTTAATAAATTTGAAATTTTATTATCCGCTTCGAGACAAGTAACTACTTTTTGTTATAGGATAAACATATCATTCATTGTTAGGAGTGTTATCTTAGCTAATTGTATTTGATTCTTAGCTAATTATATGTTTATCGTTCGTACCATTTAAATAACGTTAATATAATTGTAGTAGATTTTTTTTATTGTCCATAACGACTTGCATGAGTAATTAGCTTTGTTTTCTTGCTACTTATACTCTTGCTTAATTATTTATGCTTTGTGTTTTCAACATTTATTATTTCTTTTATCATTTGATTTATTTAAGCTCATTATTATAGTTTTATACTTGTTTATAAATACTAATGGACATGTTTTAATTATCTTTGTGTTTTGATCATGGTGTATGAAGTATATATGATATTATAATAATATTATGTCGGTATTAAATCCTTTTGTTATGAATAGCTGTATTGACGAGTCATCAGAGAAGTTAGTGGATATTCATGGGTTTGATGTCTGTCGTTCCATATTTCGGGATGACATAAAAAACCAACTATAATATGTATACACCTACTTCACTTGTATATTATCAAAGTGTTATAAACGCACATGATTTGTTAACCTATAAATATCTACATAAAGAAATTGTATGCACGCGCTTCTATTTATGATCATAAGCATGTGATAATTCTTTTATAATTTTGTTATGCATATAATAACTTGTTTTTTTTTATTTCTCATACTGCATGCGTCTTTTTCTTGTCATTTATGCTTTAGTAAGTAGCGTTATTTACTGAATTTGTTTGTTAAACTCACTCGATGAAATATTTGCATAACATATTCTATTCAACACTAGCAGGACTGTCTCCACCAGGTCAGACTTTTTAGTTTTGGATTTTTTTTTTGGTACTTTTCAATATTTTCTTAGTTATTATATTTTCTTTTTTAGTTTTGGTAAACGTTCATTATTGTCAGTTTTATTTTGATTCAATCAATTTTTTGGCTTTTTTTATAGTTGTATCAGTGGACTTTGAATTATGAAATAGAATTTATATTTTCTTATTTATCCTCTTGTTATTTACATACAATCTTTCTTTTTTGAATACAAAACATTTTCAATGCATTTAATCATGTCATGCGTTATAAGGTGTAGTGTCTTCCGGATCCGGGATGTGACAACAACTATGCCCCAATATGAATACCAAAGAGATGGAAGAGCCAAGACCAGAAGTCTCATGTGATTGGTTTTCTTACTTAATTAGCCGGGACCTTTCAGTATCCATTTGATATCTTCGTCTAAGTGATTTGGTTAAACAGCCAGGAGTTCTCCTTGGTTCTTTTGATGGTCATGTTAGGTTTTTAATTTCTTAGGTGCTTACTTTTTTCATCATCTCCATGAGCCAATTTCTCTGAATCTATTGGTTGAGCTGCATAAAGCCGAGGTGATTCTAGTTTTTTGAATAAAATTACGAACTTCTAGAACTATACAATATGCAGGGATAAGAAAATCAGCATGCACGACTGTACAATGTTAGATGTAGAAACTTGGTTAGTTGGCTGCATTCGATTCAGTTTTCCTCTGCATGGTAGTGGATTTTTTAAATTCTTTTTTCAGTAAAATTTCTTCTTGATCGGTGACCAAAAAGAAATTCTAATTAGGAAATTTGTTCTCATTTCCCTTTTTTTTCTTTGGCATCAGCAAGCTTTGACCTTGTTGCAAGCAAGGGCTCAAAATGAGATTGGCAATGTGCATAGGGTAATATTGACAAAAGATACTGAACTTCATGCATCTAAAGACGAGCTTTCTGGACTAAAGGAGGTGATTTGTTTTATAGTTCCAGTTAATTCACATATTTTTTATCGTACATCTTAGATTTTTCTATTCTTATCAATTAATGTGTTTTGCTTGCAGGTTCAAGTTCAATTCTGCGTCATTGGTGAAACAGTTGAAGTTGCTGGAAGCTTTAATGGTTGGCATAAGCGGATAAAAATGAATCCGCATCCATCATCTAGAACTGTAGATTTACAAGATTCTAGGTTGTCAATTTTTTTTTCTTTCTTCTTTATCATGTGCTTCTTAGAGTTTATAATCCGGTTAACATGGGAGTAAATTTCTTTCCATCACTAGTAGAAAGTGTAACACTCCCCTACCATACGTAGTTGTTGACCTCATTTTTTATGTCATTTCTTTTTTTTTAGGGTCTTAGGATCTAGCTCTAGGAGTTCCTATTGACTATCTTAGAAAACTAGATATTGATACTCACCATTTTAGAAATTCCAAAACACTTCCTATTTTCTTGTGATGTCTAGTATTTATGGTCTCAAAATGATCGTTTTATGTACTAGCGGTTAAGGGTTATTATGTGAAAACTCAAGGAAAAGTTCTCAATAGGACCTCAAGCCTTAGGAAAACCTCCTCACAACTTTATCGTCACATACACAAACCAAATGCACAAAATTCACAAAATTGTACGAGGTCGGACTTCAATTAAGCTTAAATGATGGGTGAAAATGCGAACTTCTCCGGATGATCTCCGATGATAAAATAGACTACGCCAACGCGTCTGATACACCAATTTGGGTAGGAAAAAACACTCATGTTGCCATATTTTTGACACGAGAAAATTGGCACGTAAATTGATGAGTTCGTCAAAACGACTTCCGGTGGCGAAACGGACCGCGCCAGCGTACCGCGTCAGCGCGTCCGGAACGTCAGAATTACCCAAAAAGGACATTCAATTTTGTTGTGTTATGATGCACAAATAAAAAAAATACGAATTAAGTTTTATTTTTAAAAATATTAAATATTTTTTATATATTATATTTTATCACTTATATTATTAAAATTATAACCCTAATTCCTACTTTACCATTTCCACCGCACATCTAAACCCTCGTTCGAGCGTCTCGATCCCGCGGCACTTCCCGCTCCTACTCACCCGTGCCCTAGCCTCCACCACGCGACATTCTTCTTCCCCAGCGCTTACCTCCTCGAGCTCTGCTCGACCGAGCGGCTCACCAGTTGGTCTTTGCCTGGTGTCCGGCCCTTCTCCTTCTCGAGGCTATACGCTCTCCTCATTTATGGTGTTGATTCCTTCCTCCTCGATTCATTAGCTAGGACAGCAAAAATGTGGCATTCTCTTTTCTTTTCTGTGCCTATTGGCTTCCTGTAGAGTTTAGTTTTTGGGTTTGTTGAAAAATTCTGAGAGAAAAAAAAAGAGAGGGCTTTGAGAGAGGAAAACTAGGCATTTTCTTTCTTTCTTCCTCACTTTTAGAAAGCGGATTTTCTCCTTCTTTGTTGTTCGAGAGGAGATTTTCTTCCTCTCTGTTGTTACGAAGACCTTGTGGCTTGGGGTAGTCGAACTGGGAACTAGAAAACCTTGGGGGCTATTTGCATGAAGCTTTCAGGAAGGATTTCTGTGGGTTGTTTTCTTCAGTTTATTTTTAGGTTTTGCTTTACATCTCCTGAAAAGAGGTATTTTTCTCCTCCTCTATTTTGCACTTTTTCGGATGGCATAAAATATTTCCTATCTTATGTGGAAGCAAGATTTGAGCTTGTTCTGAAACTTAAGTATGAAATAGTCCATGGAATTATTAAAATAGAGCATGTTATGACTGCCACATCCAATAGTTATCTTTGAAATTTTAGCTTATATCTCTTTTTAAACGGATAATAAAGAGTATGATAGTCATTTCATTTTTTTTATTGTTGTCGGTCATGTCATTTTATAACTCTGGGCATTAAATTCAATTCACAGTTCTTCTGTAGCTTTACTTAGCTTTGTTGGTTGATCCATAAACTTTGGTTTAACTGGTATGTTTTTTTGGAGAACTACGTTTGATATGAATGGATAAAATATTGCATTTTGATCTTGGTCTTAATGTTAATCCTATCTTGAGCATGCTTTCAGTCAAGATTGAAATTTCTGTCGTTGTTATTGCTAATAAATTACAGCAAGATGAGGTTTAGCTAATCCAGAATTTGTGGATAGCAAACTTTGATTAAGTGAGTATAGATTATTTATAGAATACATTTGGCATGTGACATCTGATCTTACCTTCAACCTCATACTTTCATTTGTTTATGAGGCACACAAAACAGAACTTGAAATTCATGTTGCCAGCTTTTCTAATGATGCAATGTTGAGTCATAATTACAGCTGTGGTTATTTAGCCTGTTAGTGGGGGGAGGGAACACTTTACTGTTCAATATTGTTTCGATTCATGAAAGCTAAAGGACTTTGTTATTTTATTTGCAAAAATTTATAGCTTTGATATTTATGTTTTGCAAAATCTAAAACATTTGGGTGGCGTATTTGCAAAATTTCATTTGGGTGGTGTATTTGCAAAATTTGAAATCTTTGGGTGGCTAATTTGTGAAAATCTGAAATGATTTGATGATTCCTTTGCAAAATCTGGAATCATTTAGTGTTCTTGTTACTTGTAAGGTTACTTGTAAAGAAAATCTAAAAGCTATGCTCTAGTCACTTTGCAAAAATCTGAGAGTTTCTTTATTTAGTTTACAAAGTTTGGAAGCATTGATGTTTTTTGTAAAAATCTGAAATCTTTAAGTTGTTTATTTGCAAAAATCTAAAATTATTGGGGAGTTTATTTACGAAAATCTGAAATGCATGATAGGTGGAATATTGATTCGAGGCTCTATGTTCATTTCCTATTATTGCTACGTGTTTTCCCATTTGTTGAGTGTCAGTTTTGACTCTTTGGAGCTGGATAAAAGCTGAAAATATTTTTTTGTTTTCCCCATGCATTAGACTTGATTTAGCTTAAATTATGATTTCTTTTTCAGCTCTTATGGATGTTGGCCTTCTTCTTTAGTTCTTTTATGATTGAAGATGTTTGGTTTAGGATTGGTTTTCCCCTTCATTGTCTCTAGCCGCAAATCTTAATGTGGTGAATTGTCACCTTTGCTGTGAAGGTCGGTTCATTGATTGGGTGAGCCGTATGTGGAGCACTTTCTAGTAATATGTTTGGGCTACATTTTTAAAGTTTTATTCGTCACATTTTGAAGCTTTATTCGTGAAGGTTTAAATTACATTTTCAGGCTCTTAAACCCCTTTTTGAGATTGATTCGGTCTTTTTTTTAACGAGTTTTAAACGCCTTTAGGCCGATGCACTTACGATTTCGTTTTAAGTTTTACCGATTTGACTTTGTTTTAAAAATGGATTAGCCTCTTTTCGTTTGTTTTGTTTTCTTTTTTTTTCAACGGTCAAATTAAAAATGAGAATTTTCGATTTTCGATTTAATTATTTTTGGTATTTTTGGAAATGATTCATGGTCTTAAATAAAAATATGAGGAAAAGACACAGGGAGGAAATTAAAAATGAAATTTGTTCTGTTGAGATGACAGAAATCTAAGGAGGAAATATGATAGTAAACCATTCACCGTTCCTTTTACATAAAAAAAATGAAATTGTAATTGAAAGAATAGTTGAAAGTTGGAGGAAAGTGAGAGTTTAGATAACGATTAGGAGTATGGATTGAAAGATCAGTAGACTTGCATTTAGGTCCCTTAAGCTTTGAATAAACTTAAATCCAATTGCTCTAGCTAGGATTGAAGCACATTTCACAACTTTTTTACCAAAATTATAGGTTTATCGCGGGAGGCTCTGTTATGGTTTTGCCTAATGGCGATCTTCGTCGTTTACTTCGTTGAATCACCTACCTCTTTTGTCGTCTTCATCGATTTTGTTGCTACGTCATGCTCGAAGAAGAAAGGGTTCGCGCCTGAACTACTTCGTCCTTCGTCGTGCTCATTTGTAGAAGACTTCCGTCATCTTCCACATTGAATAACCTTCCTCCATCAGCGTCTTCCTCGATTTCATTGCTTCGTCATGCTTGAAAGAAGGGGTTCGCTCTTCGATTTTGTCTGCTTCGTTCCTTCGTCGTGTTGTTGTTGCCCTAATTTTCATTTTTTCATCGTTTGCTCTTTCCTCAACCGCATTCTTCACTTCTCCTAACACCTCGCCTCCTTCAACCGGTGATGGCTTCGGATAGAGCTTATGTTGCTGCCCTTGTGGGTGTTCACGCCTCAGGTACTCTTAAATCGAGTTTTTTTCCCGCCTTCTTTTGCGCTGCTGGAGGGTGGCTGGTTTTGTTACATCAAGAAAGCTAGTTGGAAGAATGAGAGTCAACCAACTTTTTTACTGAAGTCAAAAATATTCTACTTACATACTCATGTCGTTTGAATTTGGTCGGAAAATTTGCTTGTTGTTATCCCAAAATGGAGCTGATTCGTATGAAATTTAAGCTTGTGCACGTTGTTGGGGATTGAAAAATTAGATTTTTAGATAGACGCACATCCTTATTCAACTTAATAATGAAGAGGATTACACATGCTTATTTGCTATAAGATTAGTTTGGATTGATAATAGAGCAATGAAAATTTTGAAATGGACTATAGATTTTGACCCACATATGAAACCACCAACCATACTGGTATGAATTTGACTCCCTCACTTGAAATTTTATTATTTTAATCAAGAAATGTTGTACTTTATTGCTTCAATCTATGGTAAGCCACTTAAAACGAGCATTCCTACTTTTAATCTTTCACTTTCTTCAGAAGCGAGGGTGTTTGTTGAAAAGAACATCATTTTAATTACTCTTGAGGAAATTTGGTTAAGCTCACAATACCAAGGATATTGGCAAAGGGTAGTTATTGAGCTTTTTCCTATGTATTGCTCTAACTGTTCGTATATTTGGTCACTCTAATTCTCAATGTCACCACCTATACCCCCATCTAAAACTAAAAAAGGCAAAGTGCTCCAGATTTAGAGATCCCTCCTAATCTTCTCCAACTTATTAACACTCTTGTTCATTACAAGGATATATCTGACCCTAATAATACTGTGGTAACCGTACCATCTAGTCCACTGGTCAACATTGTTGTAGTTTCCAATACCCCTGTGGGCAATCTTTCAACTACTCAGCCTCCACATAATGCTCAAGTTGAAGGTCCTCTAATTCCTGCCGTGAAACCTCTCTTGGTGGCCGGCAGAAGAGACTTCTCATACTTCACTAACTCTAGAACCTATCATTGATGTAATGGTTTGCAATCTCATGGTGTAGTGTCCATTACTATATGTGCCCCAGCTTCAAGTCCAACATTCTACCCTAAGTGAGATTTCTGCTTCGGCCCTACCACCTCATCAGATCGAGCAAGTTATTACTGTCATTCAGGCACAAGGGACTCAGGATGTGCAACAATCTACACAAGCCCGACAATCTATAGACCAATCCACGGATCAGATGAGTCAGTCATCGGATGAGGAACGATTTACACATCCAAGAAGAAAAAGAAGAATAACGGTTTACTAGAACTCAGGAACTTAATGAATGATACCTTGGTTGTTTCGGGTAATGACAATAGTTTCTTTACCATTTTTTAGTTGGCTCCCTTCCTAGAACCAGAGGTAAGAGGTAAGGATGCATTGGGTCGTTTTCAAGCTCCCATTTTATGTTTGAATCTCCGAGTGTTTGGAGAGTTTTAGAGTAGAATTTTGCCTAGGTTATAATTTTGTTTTTTTGGGTATACATGTACTTTTTTGGGACCTTGATGTGTGTTGTATATCGGGTGCTCAGGGTTCCAGTTTGGGCCCTCTCATCCAACCTATCTGTATCTTTCCTTTCTAATATATTTGTCTTTGGGTTTATATTTATATATATATATATATATATATAGATATATTATATATATAGATATATATATATATCTTACAATAATTTTGATTATAATCATACCAAAATTTAATTTAGCTACCATAGGCTCAGACCTCCACCCGTCATCCTCCATACCACGGCCGACCTCTCAGCTCGTCGCCCTTCCACCACAACCAACTACTACGATTCGCCCTCGAACCATAGCCTGCTAATGCCCTTCCACCTTACAGAATTGACCACCCCTCCTTCGGGATACAACCCTAATTGTGTTTGTGTCGTGTCTGTTGTTATTTTTATTTTTGTTTAAGTGGATGTATCTCCCTACATTTAATTTAGCAATAATATTTAGTTTCTCTAATGTTGTTTGGGTTAACTCCGGTATTACCACGGAAAAAATGGCACGTATTGATGCTCACGAAGGTATTTGCAACATGGCAGTATCTATTAAACTTGTGCTTGTTTGGCATTCCTTTGGTTGGATCAATTAGATTATTTTATCCCAAAAAATTATGTTTGATTAATTTATCCTCAGATAATGAAGCATTAGATTGAAAGCTTTAATAACATGGATGTGCAAAAGAATAAGAATGGATGTAAGCCGCTGTAGAAATATTATTATAATAGCCTACATGAATATGTTCGGATGTCACTTGCAATTTCTCTTTCTAATTTTCATACTAAATTTCCTGAAGACTGATGTAGCTCGTTCTTATGATTTACCACACAGAGTATCCAAATTATGGTCAACGATTTTGTGGCTCTATCCTGGAACTTATGAGGTAAGCATGCAACATTGCATGTATTATTTTTTCATATTACCTTTTCAGAGAACTGCAGCTATTTTCCCATGAATTATTAAAGTAGAAAATAATGCAATCAAATGATCATTTGGAATATTTTTTTTTTTCAAATACTTTTATTTTATTTTTTTCTTTTTACTTTTCATTTAGGAAATTATGCTAATGGTGTGATGAGTACATTGAACACGTCTCCTAATATGTTTGAACGGTCAAATCATACTTCATTCTTTTAAGGGAATTTTACAGACATGATACACGATTCTTATGCATACATATCCAGCACCTAAAGTTTGATATTTACAATTATAACACCTTGTTATTAAAAATTTATGCTTAAAAATGTGTAGTTCGCTTTTAAAAAGTTAGTAATAGTGGTATTTTTTACATGATGCCAAAGTCTGGGTGTTATGTATTTAAATATCATAGGTGTTAGTAATAGTGGTATTTTTGACATGATGCCAAAGCTGAGTGTTATGTATTTAAATATCATAGGTGTCCGACGCGTAAATATATAACAATTTTGTGGTATGTGTGTAAATGCCCCTTCTTTTAATTGCTCCATAATCATGATTGATTTCTAACGCTCTATATATAGCTTTTAGCAGAGTCAGCATTGAATCATAATTTTTTAAGCACACGCAAAACCTGCGAAGGATTGCTTTATTTTATTTACCGTCATTACACGATTAAGTTTCAGTACAAATTCAGATGTTTTCTATTGAGAAATAAAATTTAAATAGCAGAACAACTTGCATGAAAGGAAGTAAGGCATTATAGAAAGAAAGCCTCTTAGTGGTGATGCATGAAAATTTTGATTTTGAGGTCTTTTTCTGGAGCAAACTGCCTTCGTCTAGCGGTATTTATATCATACCATAAATAGCATGACATCAACTTCCTGCTTTTATTCAAAAATTAAAAAATCCTCTAGAGACATCCATAGTTCCTGATTCATCATCACTATCTATCTATCTATCTATCTATCTATCTATCTATCTATCTATCTATCTATCTATCTATCTATCTATCTATCTATCTATCTATCTATCTATCTATCTATCTATCTATCTATCTATCTATCTATCTATCTATCTATCTATCTATCTATCTATCTATCTATCTATCTATCTATCTATCTATCTATCTATCTATCTATCTATCTATCTATCTATCTATCTATCTATCTATCTATCTATCTATCTATCTATCTATCTATCTATCTATCTATCTATCTATCTATCTATCTATCTATCTATCTATCTATCTATCTATCTATCTATCTATCTATCTATCTATCTATCTATCTATCTATCTATCTATCTATCTATCTATCTATCTATCTATCTATCTATCTATCTATCTATCTATCTATCTATCTATCTATCTATCTATCTATCTATCTATCTATCTATCTAGCATTTAAATACATGCCAACCAATTTATTTGTTTTTACATATCTAGCACCTAAACTTTACTTTTTAATGGCAGTCGTAAGACCCATCTGACCCGAATTTGATCCCTATGGGGACGGATAACACATATGGGTATTCTCAAATACCACCCTTTAAATTGTTTTTAATATATATATATATATATATATATATATATATATATGCACTCCCACTATGGCA